ATAAAATAAAATAAAATAAAATAAAATAAAATAAAATAAAGTACACTGCCCCCTCCCAAGCCCCAGTGCAATTAAGACATAATGGGCCCAATTCTGACTTATGTCATGTGCCAGCCAGGAGTAACTCTGGGAGCCATACACTACTGTGAAACTGATGCAAATGAGAAAAGAATCAGGTCTATTGTTGATGGAACAGAATGCTGTCACCAGAGAAAGGCCTCCCACTGTTAGACAAATGTTAAGGCAAAGCTAAGACACTTATTAGCAAAGGAGGCAACATTTATCTTGGAACAATGGCTTAATTTGGGTTTCACACCATGACTGATGTGTATGTCACCATTTAATCAGATGGATGAGTGCAGCCAAATGATGGGTTTTGTTTCTTTGCCATCAAGGAGTAAAAAGATTCCAACTTTCAGGACGGACTGCTCTGGCATTGCAACCGATCAGAAAATGCCCAGGCATAAGGAAGAAAGAATGGGTGAATAGGAAGCTGTAACTTGTCATCTTCTGCTAAATAGTGTTGCGTCCTCCCGTACGAATATATTTAACGTTCCTCAGGAAAAACCCGTCTGTCCATGCGTTCGATTGCGACGAAAATCAGACTCCTCGCATAACCTCTTGCCAGTTTGGCACTGGGGGACATTGAAAAGCTGAACTAGCTGATATCCATTTCCTTTGGAATAATAACACACTGAAATTAATTTGAGAGTCATCTTCTACTTGCTCTGTGGGAGGGTACATGGCCTGGATATGCCAGTACTCATAAGAAACCAATCTACACAATGTCTTTGGAAAGGTGCTGCTGTACTTAAAGTAACAAGACGCTTTCCAGTGATGGTAGTGAATCCCTTTTGTTAACCGTAAAATCATAACTGAAGAACTACTTGTTTGCTGCTGCTGACGTTACCTGAACTCCGCACTGGACATCTGTATGACATCGCTAGCATCGGCACCCGGAATGAGAGTATGAAATAGGTGTAGTCCAGGTACAGAAAAAAGGAAGTGCATCACAGACACTGAAACTGGGTAAATAGCAAGGAAATTCTGACATCGATATGTGAGCGAGCAGTGCCACCTAGCCTGTGCTCCGACTTGTAGTGCAGCACTTGCAAACGGTTCTGGGATGCTTTCTCATCTGTTCAATCATTTTTTAAAGTATAATTACCAGAGTGCTTATGTTTTGCAGTTAATGCTGTCGAGCCTTTTAAACTAATTGGTCTTTTACAGAAAATTTAACTGAAAATTAGAACATCTTTTAATAACATTGCTTTAACTTTAATAGCACTTTGCCTTTCATTTATAATTACTCTAAAATTGTCATTTTCCAAGTCATATCTGCCTTTTTTTTTGTGTTTGCTAGTAGTTTTTTACGGATTTCTTTTAAGAAGACTCCTCCTCCACTGCATGCGGTTTTTAACATGGCTTTCAAACAAATATTTTAACTTGCTTTTCTTTTTCAGTTTGAGGAATTCTGTTGAACAAATAATATATCTCCAAACCTGAGGAACGACTGAGCCATCAGTACATATATATACTTATATCAGTAACTTATACCAATAACAAAGGGCCTTTAAGACGGCATCAACAGCAGAAAATAAATAACAGCATTTCACAGTTTGAAAATCTATTGATTCTCAAAATACTGTCCGAACTTTAAAGAAGTTTGGGACACTTTATGTTACAATATGCTGCTTGCTAATCCCCTAAACAGACTTGCACAAAAAACAGGCTTGTGTTTCAAAATGTCCATATCACAGATTAGAACAGTTTCTTTTCTGTATCACTAAGACTGTGAGGATCCCTGAGGGAGAACTCTTGAGTAAGGGATATACTGAAAAGGTATTTTTCATGGTTTTAACTATTGTCTTCCGTTATGTGCTTTCGTTTACACGAAGAAAAAGTAGAATTTAGTACTATTGAACAAAAATCAAGACCTCAAGTTCTAGCACAAGGAAATAAATTCTAGGATGTCGAATGTTAAATGTGGTTCTGGAGATCCTTGCCTCTAATGGCACCACTCCGACAGTGCATCAAGCCTATTGTCAGTGGTATGCATGGGAGGCATGCCAACCTGCCAGAACTTCCGTGGTTCTCATAGCTTCAACACCAAAAGGAATAACAGAGAAGCTTTGGCTCTCAGGCCTACTGTTCAAACCTTTGAAGGTACTGTGTGTTGATAAAACTGGTTTGTTTCCTTGCACGCACCGGATCTTCTGGAGTAACTATCTTGACAAGACCCAGAAAAGGAAAAAGTACTTCTCCTCAAAAATTTGCTTCTCTTAAACAATCCTATGTCATGTAACTTTTGGTAGATGAAGATAATATTTTTACAAAACATCCACATTGTCTACAAGATGCTTCCAATCCCATGGTTTTTAGTCACGTTCAATTTGCTGATGAGAATGTGCTTTGCTTTTCAGGAGTGGCGCCAGCTTGAGAATGATAGACTACGTATATTCTTTCCCTGGGTTTGCATATGTTATAACAAAACATCAATATATCGTTCAAGCCTCTGATGGCAGTAGATATCTCTTCAAAGAAACAATAAAGATTAGCTGGTGCAGTTTAACAATAGCCACTGCCACACTTAAAACATGAACCGTTCCTACAGTCTTCACACAGAGGACAACAGAGCACTTTAAGGGAAGCCTGGAGAGACCACTGTTACCAACTCATCAAAAAGACAATGCGGTTTTAGAGCTCGTTATTGTCTTCTGAGCAACGATCTTCGAACTACCACGCTGTGAATCATAGGCTTGTGGAATATATTGCCTTTGCTGCAGAGGACAAACTGTGTGTAGGTAGCCGGTAGATAGCATTTTGAAAAGCAAACTTCATTAAGCATTTTATCTTTGAAATAAGAAAACTACAGACAATTTCAAATTTAAAATATCTAATACTGTCATCTTATAGGAAATAACACTAAACTATCAGAACGTAATGATCTTCAGCATTCAGATTTGAATCAGAAAGTGACGATGCGTTTTCTAACCTGTGACTCATGAGTAGGGTTTATTCCACTACTTCTATGTTAATAAAATTATATAAAAGAAAATAACAATTTAACACTGATCAATACTGTTGAATTATTATTACTCAATAAATGAATAATTTAGCAAATTATTTTAAATATATTTTGTACCTCTTTTTCTATATACATACATCTACATGTATGTTTCAGATTACTTACAGGTCAGAAAGGATACTGTATGCATGTGTATTATTCTACTTTGTAACCTTTCTTACACCTGTTTTACTTAAAAACTCCACTACTGTGAGAAGAGATTCATTCTTAATGGAACAATTAATGCACTGTACATTCACATTGCAGATCATATAAAGAATTTACATTCCAGAGATATCTACAGAGATCATAAGTTGGAATTTTTCTACAAAAATTAAACAATTAAAAAACCCAAATCACTAATTGGATTGAATAGTGAACTATATCCTTGTCTCAAAGTGACCTGGCATAGGCCAGTACAGTGTCAATTATTTCCTTCTTACAGAATTCCTGTGCAATTAATAGGGTGAAGGCATGACTGCATGATCTCACAATTTAGTTAGGATACTGGCCTGAAACTAGGCAGAATAAACAGAAGCTGGTCCCTAAAAACAACTGTACTCTAAAAAAAAAAAAAGGAAGGAGATGAGATAAAAGCATGAAAGTAGATTAGTTTGTGAAAAACGTTCTTTTCCTTGGAGAAGTGAAAGGAGAATACATCCTTCTCATGAGAACAGGGATGGTAAAGGGGGAACATCTCACACATCTTACACTTTCGGAAGGGTCAGGAAGAATTGTACTTTTCCAGCTCTTTACTAGGCCTTTGAGGAATAAAAGAGAAAATAACACTGCCGCCGATCAGCAAAGTGGTGAAAGAAAAGACAGGACAGTGAACAATTCTAACTGACTGAATCCTTGGCTTGTCTTCCTGATTAGTATTTTTTCTAAGTTAGAATTTTCTACTCTTGTTATCACATTTACTTCTCTGGCTTCAGGCTGCACTGTCCCTGACATATAATATGACCACTTAGATTTGAAAATGTTTGGAAAGAAGACCCTGTTGAAGAAAGGAATTGCAGAAACCGAGGGACATGTTGTCAAAAACTAAAAGTTAATAAAAGCTAGCAATAACTAAATATGTTGTGAGAATTATAGGATGAGTTCCAAGTAAAAAATTTCTGAACAGTCACGTTCCACATGTTTCTTATTGCCTCACTATCATCTACATGATATACCTTTGCACAAGAAAGCAATGGTGTCCACAACATTTCGCTCTCTTTTTGTGGTGATGCCAGTGGCAATCAGAAGAATTAACCCTACTTTTTCCAAGATTCTAGAAGTGCCCTACTGAACGATTCATTTAGGGACATGGATTTAGATAGTAACGCGAGTAGATAAACAGCTCTCAGTATAACAATTTGGAACCTCATGTTAAATTATTCCCATTTATAATGTGAAAATACTAAATATTTTGTTCATAGAGATTTTAATTCGAGAAGGTACAGAGCTTAAGTGTGCTTGCTTAGGCTTTCTGAACTTGTCGTGTCTGCAAAATATGGCTAATAACCTTCAAAAAAAGTATTTTCTGAGTTTATTGCAAACTCCTAGGTTGCATTGGAATTAGATTTTATCAGCGTAGACTGATATTATTCATCTGTGGATGGAACATATGAGAAATATAGCAGGGAATAAAAATAAGAAATACAGATACATAAATATGAAATACAAAAAAAAAATCAAATGATTGCTGTGAATCTTTCTTAAAAGTAAAAAGCTTCCTTCTGAATTTAGGTGAAGGTCAGATTTGGCTCCTTTAAGGAAATCCATTTGCGTAATATTACATGGGCTTTACAACAGATGATTCCCAGCACCGTGGAACTTTATTCCACAGGGGCCTCAGAAAACCTATGTTTAGAATTTAAGAAGGCTTTGTCCTTTCTACACCTAGCAGAGCTTAAGGTCCCTCTGAAAGCCATGCAGCTCACACAGAGCAAGGTTGATCTGAAAAGCTAGTCAATATGAAGCAAGGGAGGATGAAAAGGAGTATGACGGAGGTGTTTGCTTCAAAACTACACTATGGCTGCAAACCAAAAACCCTAGCGTAGACATAACCAAAGGTCACCATCTGTAGTTTCTGGCATGCACTTACGTTTTCATTCACAAGACAACTCGTGTGAAAAGGAGACGATGACCTTTCTTCACACAAGTAGAGTTCACTTAATGTGTACAATGGCTTTCATGTAGTTCTATCAGAGTCCCCCAGCCCTCATACTTAGAACATTGTTCATGGCTACAGGAAATGAAAAGCTTAAAACACATTTGATGCTGTCTGACATGAACAGTGAGCATAGGGACTGACACACTGAATTTGGGTCTGGGTTTCAGAAGGGAGATACAACATTTTTGGGAAAATATATCCTTCGAGCCGGATGTGAGACTCTGCTTTTAAAATTGTGGACTCATGGTAGTCCTAGATATCTCATTTTTTTTAAAGTCTCTGTGTCCAACTACAAAATAACCTAGTTTAGGCTCTGAAATTCTCTTGACATCTAAGAGAAAAGTGCCTTCTCCCGACTACCTGTGGTAAAGGGACTATGCTTTCATACTCTTTCACAATAAGTCTGATGGAAGACAATGAAAAAGGTTTAGTTTGCTTACTGCGCTCATGAGAGAGTCCAGCACGCTGACAGCAAATGCGGTTCCACATGCAAAGGGCTGTGTGAGATACAGTTCTGTGTCTGGATCATCATCATCATCTTGGTCCAAGAACTGAACATTTGAATCGTTTACTGAAAATAATAATAATAATAATAAAATCATAAGGTGCTTCTGGGTCACCAGGATGTGGCCTTACACATTACACAATCAGAAAGAAAAAGAAACGGCATATGTCTGGAAACACAGACTTGTGTCTTTGACGTCACTGAAAATGAAATCAAGAATGGATGTGAAAATGTGCATTTAAAAATCTGTTGATCATTATCTTGCTCGTAAGAGGTGGCTCTCTTGCTCTTGAGAGGTGACTATCCCTTTTCTGTAAAAGTAGCTTCATGGCGCCAGCTGCCTGCACTCAAAATGAGATACATGATGCTCTTTCACATATCGAGGCAATCCTGGTATTGGTCGGGCACAGTGGCTAAGGCTGTGTGCATGTAGAGTGAAACGTTATCACAAGACACCAAGTCAGAACCCCTTCGTAAAACACAGGCTGTCCATAAAACTCTGATATAGCCCACAGTCATCTGCTAGATGTGCTGCTGTGATTCTTACTGGAGTAGTGCTAATGCACTTACAGCTCAAAGAGGATAAACTGTCGCTTTAACATGCATCTGTCTGAATGAATGAGCAATACTCCAGCTATTCTCTTGCAGCACTGCCTTTTGTTCAAATATTTCTCTCCATAACTTCACTTCCTTAGCCACAAATTCTGTACTAGCCAGTGTGAAAAAGAATCTACATCAGGATGTTCTAAAGAAAAAGCCCAAATAAAGTCGTATTTGTCATTTAGACTTCCTCTGGCATTTCATTGTCACAGTTAAGCTTTGTCTCTACCTTATTCCACTAAAAATAGTTGTTTCCTTGAGATCAGTGTATCAAGTGGATCATATTTCATGAAATACTTCATTTCCATCTTAGTCCTCCTCAGGCATGAAACCAAAGCCTGCTTAGCTATGCCATTGAAATACCCTTTAACTTACTAAATGACAAATTAATTTCAGTTCCCACGCAAGGAAGGGAAATTAAAAACTTTTTCAGCATTTGAAACCGTACACATTGACTATGTCCCTATTCCCCACAGGAACACATCTCCTGAGCCAACCCTGGGAGCTCTGAAACCAACCTAAGAGCTGCTGTTAAACTTGATTGGGTTTTGTCTCTGGACTTCGTAGGTTGGAAGCCTTCTTCTGCCTGCTATTCTGATCTGCCTTCCTATACAGTTTAATTTTCCATCCACTTGTTTTCCAACCTGTATACACTACTGTGCTTGCCATACTTAGCTTACAAAACTTTAATAACTGTAGGTAAAGCCTCATGATAGCTGTCAAAAAGAGATGAGAATTGTTATCTTTTTTTTAGAGCCCTGATGACTCGGTACTTGGCCATGATCATACAGTCAGTCAGGACCTGACCTGAAGCGGGATTTAAAATTCCTGCCTTCCCTCTTCTTGATGTAACCACGAAAACATAACACCTCAGTGTTGTAAATAAATAGAGAAGCGTTCTGCCCTGGGAGTCAGAAGAATTTCATCCTAGCAAACACCAATACCCACAGTACTCCTTTCTTTGGACAATGGCTATCAACTTATTCTCCAGATTCTTGAGCAAAATAGTATTTGAAAGCCTGATGCATCATTTCAAATGTACTTTTTGAACAGCTTGTGCCTTAGTTTAATTTGCTAGTTGAGAGCAGGCACTATTGACAGTAGCATTCTTTATCCACTTACATCCAGCAGACTAATACCCGACTTGGACACCAGCTCGCTAGCCGTGCGTGCCGTCAGTTTCCAAGGTGCTACAAACCTAACGTGAATTCTGCAATTGTGGTTTTATCCCCAGTATCTTTATCCTCCTGACGCAAGTTCGCATTCCAGGATCTCTACGAGAGGTCCCCGGGCTGGGTGAGGCAGGCTGGAGCGTGCGGGGCTGCGCCCGAGGAAAGGCTCATCAAGCACCGCGCGCAAAAGCTGGCCAGAGCTCTCTCTGTGGAGAGGCAGCGACGCAGAAGCTTGGCTGCCTTTCTACAGCTTCAAATCCTGAGCTTCTGAGAAAAGGCTTGCTCCCCAAAATAAACAAACAAATAGCTTAAGGGAAAGTATGATGCTGGGGTTTCTTTTCTGATAGCTTTTACTTCTTCTTTGACTTCCTGTGAGAACTGCTAAGGCATGTCCACCAAATTGACAATAAGCTGAAATAACAAAAAGAGAGAGAGAGAAAAGGAGAAAAAAACTGGGGGGGGGGGGGGTGGGGCCCGGGGGGGGGGCCGCGGGGGGGGGGGGGAGTAGGGCCCGGGAGGTGGGGACCCAGGCCAAAGAAAATGAATTGGTGAGAAGGTGCTATGAAAACAGCCGGCAGGTCAGACGAGTGTGATCAAAGGTTTACTGATGCTGCGTGAAAAAAAAAAATCATTAAGAAAGGCCAGAACAAGACAGTAAATTTCAACCAGAACCACAAATAAAACACATTCAAAGCAGTGCCATGAGGGTAGCCCCTCTGATACAGCCAGATAAATAAAGTAAAAGCTGATGACAGTAAGAACAACAACAACAGAAAATAAGACAGTGATGTGAAGGAAAAAGGCTCTTCTTACCCAGTTCAGTTATCATTAGAATGTGGGTTCCACTGTTTTTTTCCTGACTGATTGAAACCAAAGGCAGAAGTTTGCCAGGCTTAGCTAATAAGTAAAGTATTTAGGGGGAAAAGAAAGTACAGAAAGAGAATAAAGTAAGGGAAAAAGACAGGTAAGGCTCTAAAAAATAAAACTGAAAAGGAAAATAAAAGGACAAAGGACCACAAATCAAGTTTGTACTTGCCGTGAAAAAAACAGAACAGCTTCTGCACTTCACATCACACCACTTGACAACATAAATACCCACAGCTAGAGTGGAAATCAGAGCCTGGTTACCTACCATGATCGTATTCTCAGGAGTAAAATGTCTCATACTATTATACAGAGTTTGGTTACACATGATTAAACAGTTCTGGACCATGAAGAAATAAACAAATGGCCTCTTACTATTGATTAAATGCACAGGAAATGTCTGCTCATACTTACTCCGTTTTTTTCTTTTCTAACCTTAGCCCTAAGACCCCTGCTTATTTGTTACACTATGCATAAAGCATCTTGTCTGATAGAGTCTTTATTTAAGAAAATGGAGAAAACCCCAAGGAAAGAGAGAAACAGATTTCAGTTATTCGAATAAAGCGAAACGACTGCTACAAATATTTTTTTAGAGAGAGTAATTCAAAACAGCTATCAGAAGAGAAAACATAGCAGTGTAAGACAGAGTATAGGTAATTTTCCTGCCTAACAAGGGAAGTGGGAAAAAGATGGGAACATACACGAAAGGATAAATGTTAGCTTTTCTTACCTAGCTCTGTTATAATAGGGATGTTGGCTCCTGTTGTAATGGAGGGTTGACGTAACAGGCCATGGACTGGACTGTTGTCTGGAGATGACCTATCCATCCCAGGGGGTGTAAAGCCTAAAACAAACAAACAAACAAAAAAACAAACAAACAAGAAAAAGAAAAAGGAAAAAAAGAAAGAAAAAAGAAAAAAAAGAAAGGAAAAAGGAAAAAATATAAAGTTTACACAGGACAAACTATAAAAAAAAATCCCCACCAACATGGAATTCCTTACCTCTACTTTTTTTTTTCCACAAAGAAGAATGGAAAAAAAAATTGCCGTTAAAAAAAATTTTACTTAATCTTCAACAATTATTTCTTAAAAGCATAATCCTTCTCAAATATGCAGGTAATTTCTCCTGTAAGATACTTGGTAGCTAATGGAGAAACTGAAACTTATTTTGTTATCCCAGGTAGCCTTTGCATCAAAACATGCAAAATGGAAAGAGTAACACTTACTTAAACATAAATTAAAAAATAAAGGCTTCAGCACTAGAGAGGTTTAATTTTGTCCTATCAGTATCTCAAATAATCCTGAAATAAACACCTTTCCCTAAACTTCAATTAACATTTTAAAGAGTATTGTTTGTAAACAGTAGTAGAACCACAAGGAAAAAGTTGCTTCCATTAGCAGGTTTTAGGTTTGACCTAGAGGTTGATCAAGGGTTTAAAATTTTCAAACTGTTTTCCAGGAGCAAGACAACCCACACAAAGTTGGGGTTTTTTCCTTTCACATGCATGATTCATAGTATGTATTTTTATGAGTATTGCAATTATAGGAATACTGGGACGGAAGGGCCCATTCTCCAGGAAAAAAAAAGCATGGAAGGAAAAAGACACAGGTTTTCAAACAGTCTATAAGAGGAATGCTTGAAAAGAAACAAGAAAAAATTTTATACCTTTGAGGATGTAAAGGAAACAAAGGTGGGAGAGGAAACATCTTGGCAGGCACTCAAAGAAAAAAAAGACCTGGAGAGCAGCAAGGTTCACCTCTAAAAAAGATTATGTTTGCAGCCTGATTCTCTACACAGTTTGAAATGGAGCTCTTGACACTGAGCATTTTTTACTTTTTTTTTAATAAAAAAATACCCAGGCAAAGCCTTTTAGAGTTTGATTGTAAGTACTGAAAAATAGACAGTTATACAAAAGCCCATGCAACAGTTGGACTGGAAAATCACAGTTGAGACTAATGCATTCCATCTCCTTTACCCGTTAATGTGTGGAAAGCATGGGAATGTTCATTTAAAGTCATTATTGCAGAAGTGATGGTGAAGACAGAGTTTGACTTCAGGGTTTCATGTAGACCAATGTCAAGTCAGCATTTTTAAGCAAATATTTGTCTGCTAGGAATGGGATTGAGCCAAGCTTACACACAATTCTGAGAAAACATACAATTTTTTTTGCCACGTAATGCGAGAGTTCTTTGACTTCACACCTGACATCCAGGGGCAGACTTTTGATCCTCTGTCATTACTGGTCGGAACCACTTTTGAACTCTCTATATACTGATTCTAAGATAATCACAACCAAATTAATTCCCGATGTAACTTCATTATCTTCTTGTAGCTTGGAAACTGTTTCACTGCGTTAAATTCATTGATACATTTATCTGCTATTGAATTCAGAAGAAGATTGTATGACATTATCTACTTCACCTTTCTTCGGCTTGGGGACTAATTTACAAACCAGGAAATCCCTAAACCAAACTGTAGTTGTTAACATGTGGTACTGGTTTTATATTGTCTTTCTGAGGGATTTATGGTTCTTTTCCAGTGATAATTACCATCACTCTTAAACTGTACCTAAACAAGACAAACTATAAGGATCACTAGATCTGGACTTCTTGATTTAATGGGATTTAAATTTTTATTTGATATTCAGTTCCATTTCTCCCTATGTTTTGTCTATGTCACATATAGAATATACAGGTAATAAAACTAGAATCACTGAGAAGAGAGACTTAGCCCTCCAGAAGGAACCAGCATGAACTTCCTTCTGACTATCACATGAAAGTTAGACACAACATGAGGACTGTAAGGACAGGATGAGTAAAAAGGGAGTGAAAAGTCTGTGAAGAAATTCCTTAGGAATAAAAGTGGATGAGGTATCTTCAACAGGATTGCAAGACAAAGACATCGCCATAGGCAAACTAAGACAGCAAAGCAATTCTATTTAATATTACCAGTGCATAGAAAATCTTTAGAAGGCAGATTTCTTAGAGACAATTGGAAATGTTGGCAATGTTAACAGTTGGTCATTTAATACTACTCGTTGTGCTGAAACCAATTTAGTAAGACCAGCATGGTGACAGCGAGTTGCATTCCCAACTGGTATCAGTTTGTAGATCGTCTCCTTGCGTCTGGCGCTGTGACTGACAGCCATACTGGCTCTTTGAATGCTTACTTCTGCATGGCAGAGCCTAGGATTCCTCAGACTCACAAAGTGAGTCTCATGGAGTTCCTTCAGGCACCACCTCACGAGTTAGGGGTAACCCTGACACTCTCACGACAGCAGGAAAATGAAAGTGGGACTCCAAAGGGAGGGAACGCTACCTGAGGACAGGTGGGTACTGGTGCGACACCGCCTTCTGCAGCAGGCTTCAGTGTTTTAAGTTTTGCATTCTGTTATGCTACAGGAAAAGCAAAACATGGCTTTTGTCACGCTACATTAAAAAAAGCTCAAGTAGCTGCAGACTCCTTGAGCAGTTAAAGTGGCAATCCCAGTTGGGTTCTCTGCAGAATTACAAGTCAAAATGGCAACAGCAAGACTTTTTACACTCCCTTATCTGAGAGCAGAGCAAAGGACTCTTGGTCCCATGCACCCTAGGGCTTGCACTGCTGGGAGGATCCCTAGAGGCCCTGGTTCTCCCTTTTTCCTGAAGGCTTTTCCCTCCCCATCGCCGGATGCCCTCCCTAAAATACCTTTCAGTGAATTGGGCTCTTCAGATGGTAAGAGCACATCAGTATTTCCCCACCAGCTAAAAGCAAATTGAAGAAAGTTGGCATAACTGCGTCTACATGTGTAAGCCCTTCTTGCTCTCCCTCTACTGCAACATGCACAGAGGGGCACGCACGCAACTCTCATTGAAGGCTATTTGTAGCCACCTCTCTGACTCTTCAAATATTTGTCTTCTTAGGACGGTGTGAGAAGATTGAAGTAAATGTGTCATTTCTGTTAGACACAGACTGTCAGTAGCTCTGTAATTGCACGCTGCACATATAGTGCATTCAGTCTGAAACGCAGGAAGCATTTTAAAGGGATTTTGTTTTCTCCTTGAATGAAAAATAGACTCTTGCCTTAGTATTTTTCATCCTATGGTCTTGGAAGATGTGAGAAATACTTGCTATCTTAATTTAATTTCCTTGTCTATGCTTAATTCAGACACTTCTAAAAATCCACTTTTTAAAAATATAAAAATATTGGAATATTTTCAGGGACAGAAAATTGGAGTATTTGGGGATTTTGTGTGCCTATGTTTGGAGTCACAAGGCATCATGCACCTTCAGGCCACATTTCTGCTCCCAAGTCACAACGTAAATTCTATAGATAGGCTCTCTATTTCTTTTGTCCAGAAAAAAAGAAAAAAAAAGTGCAGGAAAACTAACCTGCTTTATCAGAACTTTCATTTAAAGGCATGAAAAACTACAAGTGACAGCTGTGCGGATTCAGTGAATGTGACATTTCTGAATTTCTTCAACTTGACAAGTAAACACCTTAAATCGGTAATGCTATATGCATAATACATGACCTGTATTTTGACATCCATCATCAAATGCTGACTTGAGAAAATACAGGTTTGTACGTCAAGGAATAGCACCCATAAAGCAGGGAGAAATTCAGGTCACAGGGTATTAGGAAAACTCTATTTCATTACAGAAGCTGAAACAAGCTAAGGCATCAGATTTAAGATCCATTTTCAGCTGTGAAAAGATTCAATTCCTCTGCACAGAGCATTCATTTAGGAATGACACGCTTTCCTCGCAGCCTCTTTTCATTTTCCTTTTCATATTCCATTTTCTCCTTCAGTCCCCAAACCTTGTTCCATTAGCGCTCATAAAAACCGTAAAACAGGGCTGATAATTGTGATCTTATAACCACACTGTCTCCTTGCTCAACAAACTGAGGGAGCTGTGGCTACAATTGCTTCACAGGATCAACCTCTAGAGTAAAATTCACATGTCCCTGCGTACGGAAACACAGTGACAGTGGAGGGCTTCTGGAGAAAGGGACTCTCTCGACCAGCAATGAGGAGGTCAGGTGCAGCACAATCATGTCAGTTCCTGCAGCTGCTGCGTCCGACACTAAACTGCTGTAGTGGGTCAGTGACTGCCTTCGCATCACTTGGATTTTGGTTTTTTGCGTTGTGTTTTGTTGAGGGTTTTTTTCTCTTCGCTCATTAAACTGCCTTTACCTCAACCCGTTAGGTTTTTTTCTTACTTTTGCCTTCTGCTTCTCTCCCCCATCCCACTGGGGAGAAGTGAGCAGAGACCAGGTAGGGCTTAGTTGCCAGCCAGGGTCAACCCACCACCGTTGGCTTTAGTGATAACCACCACAACATCAAACTGAGGAAACCTCTAATGCAATTGTTTGATTGTTTTACCTACTTTTGGAGCAGCAGTATCCTAGAGGGAGCTGGGAAATATCTCTTTGCACAGAATCAAGACACTGAACCAGGTATTTTCTGCAGAGACCCGCAGGAGGCTCAGACTCCTCCAGAGCAGCTACCTGAGTTAAGGCACGGCAGTCCCTGACTCTCAAGGAGGGAGGGAAGGGAGGGAAGCAGTGACTCCCGACTGCCAGGTCCTCACTGATTTTGAGCACGTCAGGAACCCAGAGCCTGTGTTCCTCTTTGAGTCATGATATATTTAATCCTCTGTTTGACAGCATCTTGTTTCAGATAGGGGCAGGGGCTTGCTAGCCCCTGTTGAAGTCCAAGGCGTTTCCTCAGTTTGATGTTGTGGTGGTTATCACTAAAGCCAATGGTGGTGGGTTGACACTGGCTGGCAACTAAGCCCCTACCCAGTCTCTTGCTCACTTCCCCCCAGTGGGATGGGGGAGAGAAGCAGAAAGGCAAAAGT